CGTCTCATTTTAAAAAAATCTAGACTTTGCACCATATTTTCCCTAAAATATCTTTGCCTTTGCACCCATTCAAGAATTTTTCTTCACAAAATGTTGTATGATAGGGTGCAAAGTCTAAAAGTTTTGAAATTAGGGTGCAAAGTCCAATATCACTCAAAAATTAGGGTACAAATTAAATTAAGTCAAAATATCCCTTGAAAAATTATACCACCCCAACCTAATATATCTTTCTAGCTACGTCAATACTGATAAGAGTTGTTATTTACACACAATTGTCTCATGTGAAAAAAATCACCTCACCAGGTAAACTCAATACAAACTCTTGCATGCATGTAAGAATGAAAATATTATTGTTTGTATGAAAGTTATGCAAAAGTAGTTATTATGCACTTTTTTTTAACCAATTCAAGGTTATGCACATATCATTAGTCCCCAAATTATTAGCAAAATGAAAAAACGAGAGATATTAGATAGATGGAGTTTAACAATTACCTTTAGCTTCAATCTTAATCATCATTTGGATAAAACTCAGCCTTATCTTGTCAAAGATAAGTTAAAAAATATTTACAAGTAACCATCCAAGACTCTACGTTATTTTGATAGATGTAGTCCATAAAGCAAGATCATGATGGCCGGATTTCCCAACTTCTTTAAATTAGACATTGCACAATCATATATTCTCTATATTTATTATTTTATGTACGTATAGCACCCATTGACCATGAGTTTCAAAAGGTAAATCGCTTTTTTCAAGCGATGACTAGATCAGTGAGATGTCCATGTGTATTATATCGTAAAGTGGCTATTTTTACGCTCAATTAGTCAATTATGCCCAAAATAGTGAAATTGTAGTAAAATTATGAAAAAAATCATCATTATTATTACTCTTTAAAATGTGGTGGACAAATATTATTTCGCAAGTATTAGTGACTATAATTGTGTTCAAATTTAGTTCATAGTAATTATATGTATGTTACTACGATGTAAGCTTTGAATATGATTAAGGAAAAATTCACACCAATAATCCGAACTATTAACGGTCTTCTTATATTAATCCCAATTATACTTAATTCCAAAATAATCCAAAATTCATGGGTAATCTTCTCATGTTGATCATAGGTGACTTGCTACCTACTAAATAGGTAAAAACTTAAAAAGAAAAAAAGTAAAAAGGAAGGAAAGAATGGGATAGAGTCAAGTGACTGGAGCAATTCTACGCCTTTGCCTAGAGTCATCTTCCCCCGTTGCTTTTCTTTTTTGTTTTCTTTTTCACTTTCCTTCCTTCGCCCTTTTTTTTATTCCATTCAAATGTAATCGACGGTCATGAGGGCATCACACTTAAGAGGAAAAAGAGTTTAATTGCTTGGATGCCTTGGACTGTAGGCATAATTTCTGAATCTAGCCCTACCCGTGGATTGTTCTACTCTGTTCTTTTCTTTTTCTCTTTGTACCGCACATGAATATCTCTTTCTTACCTTCAACTTCATTTTTTATTTAGGTTTTCGACCATGCTCAAATTTGTACTTCTTTCTTTGAATTTCAGATTTGGAAAAGATAATTTGGACAATCTAAACTCAAATTTGACACGGACACACGGTCCATCCTGGGCAATGACAAAAGTTGAATGACAATCGACCTACGAACCATGGTGACTAGGCCAGTTGGGATGATCGGAAGGATGGCGGTGCTGGGATGGATGAAGGGCCGACGTCGAAGACCAAGTCGGTGGAGGAGAGTGCAGACTAAATATTTAGGGTAGAAATCCACGAATTTTGATGAATTACGAAAGAATAAGGTAGGGAGAAGGAGTAGGGAAAGAAGAAGAAGAAGAAGAGGAGGAGGAGGAGGAGGAGGAGGAGGAGGAGGAGGAGGAGGAGGAGGAGGAGGAGACGAGCTAGAAGAAGCGAGGTGATAGGAAGATCGAGAGGAGGGATTGAGGGAGCTGCGTTTTAGAAGGGGAAAGAAATAAAAAGAAAAGAAATTAAAACAAAACAAATTAAAATGCTTAAGGCCAATAAGAACAAGACATGTGGGCGGGTGACCTGATGACCTGATTCCTTCACGTTACCGGATCATTTTGAGAAGATACCCCTTATAAATTGGATTATATTGGAATTACTTATATTTGGGATTATTGTTGGAAGAACCCTAATAGATCGGATTAATGGTGTGAATTTTTCCTGTGATTAATTATAGTAACTAATAGTTACTTAAGTAATATTTTTAAGTAATATTTTTGTTGATAACTTTTTTATGAGTAATATTTAAGAAAAAATCCCTAAAATTATTCTTCCCATCCTATTTTATACTATTTATCTTTTTTCTACAATATAATTACTATTTATTCTTTCTTCTTACATATTAAATGTTGCATATCCAAATTTAGGTTTTACAGTTCTATGGATTTATTAATATAGTTTTCCAATTATGTAACTTTTACTCCCTACGTCCCGAAAAGGTTCGCCAAATTGACTTTTCTTGGTCAATGGCGATCGACTTTGACTGATGATATTTTTTAATACGAAATTATTTTGAATATGAGAATTATATCAAATTGTTCCTTATTCTAAATATTTTCTTAAATGTATAAAATTTATAAATTATAAATAAATATAACAATTAAAATCATTGTCCAAAATTCGTCATCATTGACCAAGAAAAGTCAAACTTTTTCAGGACGGGTAGTAATTGTTTTTATACTAATTCGAATGTTATTTAAAGGAGTATACCTTTAACTTTGATTAAATCTCATAACTCAAGTTAGGACATATAAATTAAGTGCATACATAAGGTGCATATTATTTAAAAGAAACTCATTTGTGCGAGAGTAGTCATGAAACGAGTGATATACTTTAAAGTTTCTCATTGTGCGCACATGCCAGATCAAAGCGAACCAGTAAAACGTAATTAAGTTGATATGTAGTACGGTACAATTTTTGAATCTAGAGTAATTGCACCACTTAACTCGTTATGGTTTCGTTAACGTTTCCACAACTTGAGGCCGGGGGAGTCAGGAGAAGTGGAGGTATGATATTACTCCCTTGTCCCTTTTTATTTAGCAAAACACTATTTTTCAAGTCAAAGTTGACCAATTATATATTTATACACGGTAATATTGATAATATGACAATTATATGAAAATGTTATTTGTTAAAAATACTATCATAAAAGTATAAATTTATTAAGTTTCACATAAATACATTAATTAAAATAATGGATCAAAGTTTATCATCTTTAACTGGAAAAGTCAAAGATGACTAAATAAAAAAGGGACGAAGGTAATACCATATTAGTCTAGCACTTTCTTTATATGTAATCTTCAAAACGCTATCGAAATACTCCGTATGATGTTGAGTCCTTATTTCTGAAACTTGTTGCACTCGTTCATACAAATGAGCTGAAATCTATTTATTCCATGATGGGAAGGAGTTGAAGGAGTGAGTTTCCTGAATGAAGTCTTTATAGCCATTTTCCATTGTAGTGTCAGATCGAGGAAATGAGGAATTCCCAAAAGTTACGTTCCATTGTAGTTACACACTTACACACATATAACACATTTTAGATCCTCTTTAATCGATCCGGGTCGGAATATTTTGGATTTTGGACCAGACAGGATCGATGAAAATCTTGGACCGAAAATCGGTCCAATGAATTGAATCAATAAGGCTCTGTTTGCAACCACTTGTGCTTAAATAAAAGCACTTTTGGGGAAAAAGTGATTAGTAGTAAAAGTTGGTAGTGTTTGATAAAATAAGTGCTTTTTGTGTAATAGAAAAAGTAAAAAGTAGATTCTACACGAAAATCGATGAAGTAAAAGTTGGTAGTGTTTGGAAAAATAGGTGTTTTTTTCTTAAAAAAAGCCAAAATCACTTTTTTTAATTGGTTGCAAACAAGCCCTAATGATCATTCCAATTTTCCTAGTACTGACAGCCCGTTCCCAGGCCGCCGTGATTGGCAAATATTTGAAACATACATTTAAAATAAAGATTGCATAACTTTTACTCCATATTTTTTAGGGAGAATGATCAATTAGATTCTTTTATTATTTTTCAAGGTTTTAAATAGTCATAGCGGTAGCGGTAGCGGTAGCGGTAGCAGTAGCGGTAGCGGTAGCGGTAGCGGTAGCGGTAGCGGTCATCGCGGTAGCGGCCTGTAGCCGACTGTAGCGATTGCAGCGGCGTGAAATATTTTTAATTGCGCAAAACATATATTTAATGAGTGTTGAAGTTAATACAAACATTGTGAATATTTGTTTGAACACTTATAACATTAAGAGTTCATTTACACAACATAGACACATTTACACATCAACCCGTTCGTGACGTACTGCCGGAAATGTCAATAGCCGGCTGTAGCGGGCGGCGTAGCGGGTTTTTCCCGTGATTCGGAATTCACAGCGGAATAGCGGGTCGTAGCAGTAGCGGCCCCTACCGTGACCGCTATATAGCGGCCGCTATAGCGGTAGCGGGCCACTATTTAAAACCCTGCTATTTTCAATTCATCATTTAAGCTCTTCTACTAAATAGCATCATGCAAATACACTCACTTTTAAATACAATCAATCATGTCCTTTTGACCTACTATAGCAAGTTATTTTTTAAAATAAATTAAGAGCATTGATAAATCATACTCCGTTTAAATTTGAAAAATAATGTAATAACAATACAAAAACTAGCATACATGTAAAAATATATAAATCATCTTAAAAAGTTAAAATAAAGAATAAAAATCAGAAAACCGAAAAATGTGAAAATGTAAAAAATATAAGATATAAAATGTTAAATCTTTTTAATGGATGTAGAATATACAAATGATTTTAAAATGTCGAAATAGTGACTTTAACATTCTGAAATTTTTACAATTTATATATGTATATTTCTTCAAATTTGAACATCTTTTTAGAGTTTTTTAATATAAAAACCCTGCTATGTAGGTCAAAAACTAAATAAATGACCAAATTGATCAATGTTTTAAATAAAGTAAATGTATTTATATGATTTTTTTAATACATGAGCTTACCGAGTAAGTGATGAATTGACAATAGTAGAACAATTTATTTAATCATTTTATTTATTCTAATTTTTATCACACAGTCTAAACTTTTTTCCTATTTTTTTGTTCGAGCAATAATATGTACCTAATGAATACGTAGTACAAAGCATCCTTAAACATAATTAAATTCTGGGGAGTAGTACAGTCCGGCTCAATAATGGTGTGAGCAAATCGGTGGAGATGGTATATTGGTATGGTATATCCATTGGAGGACAATAGCATCCAGCCATCGAGACGATTCCACAAGGCGAGAGATACTGCCTTGGCGTGTGCCGCGTTCAAATAAAATCCAGGTAATAAACCATTGGTGAAAATATCAGACATGCATATTGATAACGAGATGGAACATGTAAAAGACATTCATTTTGAGATTGCCAGAATAAGTATAATCACATTGTGGATTATACTAGGCGCATGTTAGTGGAGAATACATGTTACTAGGCGCATCGGTGCAAATCAGACAACACATGTTAATTACGGCAATTTTTTTTGGTTTCCTCGTAAGGTTTGATTGTTTGGCTTTGTGTCTCCCACATACCATAGTATATTTCTTCTCCTTTGTCTTCACACTCTCTTCAAGTCTTCATATTAATGCATCATTGAGTTCGATCACCCCCAAAACATCCCATCTATCAGGAGTATGATACAAGCATCGTGTCGGCCTCATAATGCGTCTCTCTTATCATCTTCCATTCTTTGTTAAGATGCCAACTTCAAACCAAAGTTGAGATCACTCACCCAAGCAGCGCGGGGCGCCCCATATTTCAACCCGATAGAAAAGTCAAAAAGTAAATCACTGTAGATCTTAAATAGTTTTCGAGTGAGATGGTTCACGGCCTCATACACAAGGATAATTTTACCATCCCAAAAATACACTGTAATTTAACCCTTAAGAACAATTGTGAATCGCTCAAGCAATAATTTATGTTTCTGATGACATATGTACATTTTGCTCACAAGATATCCCGATCATCATTTGAAAAAAACTTTTGAACTAACTTCGTGCTAGAAGATAACCATATTTAATTTGAGAAAACCCCCTTAAATTGATCAATGACTTGAATTCGATCACGACCTCTACAAATTGAAGTGTGGATGTGATCAATTCTCACCAATCCCACATGCCATCTTTTTTACTCCCCTTGTCATTTTCTCGATAAATTTTTCTTTTTTTGATTGTCCCACTAACTTTGTCATTTTCTCTTTTAAACAAAGAAATTGTGATTTAAGTTAATTCTCTCTCCTCTGCATAAACCTCAACCACAAAGTATTTTCCTTATTAATCATAGTGCCGGTCAAACTTGACAAAGTTTTAAATGACGGAGGAAGTATAAAAAAAGGATAACACCACAAAATTCTAAGGTCCCCAGAACCGATTGAACAGTTATCAATTATCAGATTATTTAAGTTGAACTTTGATCACACATTGATAGAAAAAGAGTGATGTTTCATTTTTAAGTGTTTGTTTAGAGTTGAAATCGAGATCTCTCCTTGATGACACCTCATTTCTACCATGTGAGCTAAGCCCCTTGTTGCCATCCTTTTTATCATTTATGACTAGTGGTATCAATTCGTCTTTTTGCTTATAGGCTTGACAAAAATTAACTCATTGTCGCCACATGCTATGACTTGTCATCCCCACCGGATGATGACAGTATCAAACAACGTTTTTGTTTGTTTATACAAGTGCTTTTGTTTCATTCCTAAAGATTATCATGCCAGCAGCCGTGTCTAATAGGTTAAGTGCTAACGTAATCCCCAACATATACAGATATACTCCATATCATTACGTTTTAATTTATCCCATGCATAGAACCAGTGGCGGAGCCACCCTTTGGCCAGTGGTGTCAATTGACACCACTGGAATTTTTTTTCCCCCATATGTAGGTATATAAAAACAAATTTAAAATTTAAAATTGACACCACTGAAAAATAAAAATTCTTTATATAAGTATAGATAATCTTTCATAAATTATAAATTGACACCATCCAACATTTAAAAAAATGGGGCTCAATTTAAAAATTTTAAAAGTTGGAACACCAAATTGAAAAGTCAGCAAAGGAGAATCAAAAAGTCTGTGCCCAAATCGCTGATTGAACTCCAACTCCCGCTGCAAAAAAAAAAACTATTGAACGCCGTAAGTCGCAGTCCCAATTCCCAAATCGCTGAAATCGGAAACCCTCGGTCGCAGTTTGTGCCCAATGGGATATTCTCTTTGGTGAAGTTTCTTCTTTTTGTGAAAAGAATAAAATTTCAATTCCAAGTATGAATTATTTTTATGTACCTCATGGGAGAGTCCGTCGCAAAGTTATCCAAGTCACAAACTTACATCGTTACAAAGTGGACTTGTTCTATGTTGTGGTGGATAGACAACGCGAGGAGTTGAACAATCGATTCACAGAGATTTCTACAGAATTGCTTCTTTGTGTGGCTTGCCTTAGTCCTAAAGACACTTTTTCATCTTTTGACAAGGACAAGTTGATTCGCATGGCTCGATTATATCCTTTTGACTTTTCACTGGTAGATGTTCTTGCTCTTGACAGTCAACTTGAAACTTTTATTCTTGATGTGCGCTCCAACTCTGCATTTATAGATATTACAGAAGTTGGTTCTCTTGCTCAAAAATTGGTGGAGACAAAGAAACATATTGTGTATCCATTAGTTTTTTTACTTGTGAAATTAGCTTTGCTTTTACCGGTGGCAATACTGTGGAAAGAGCTTTCTCTGCCATAAAGTTCATGAAGAACAGGTTGCGCAATCGAATGGGGATGCTATGATGAATGATGCCTTCGTTACTTTTATTGAAAAATATATATTCAAAAGTGTTGACAAAGAAAAAATTGCACAACATGTTCAAAATATGAAAACGCATCGTGGACAGTTTTGAATTAGTACTTTAATTTTACCAATGACAATATTTGCTTTTTTGCTTTATATATGTACACATTATTATATAATATTGTTTAACTAAATTGACACCACTGACACGAACTCCTGGCTCCGCCACTGCATAGAACTGTGTTTAAATTAAACTCAAAACATTTTCTTAGCTTTTCGCTTATATATATCCAGGTAGAGGCTGGATCTATATATGTTCGCCGCACACTCGCTGGATCTATATATTTTGCACTCCAATAGTTATTCAAATTTGTATATGACCATTTGAATTTAATTTGAACAGTTCAAATATGAAAACAGAAAAAAAAATAGTAATTTTGATTGAAATATTCACCAAATGCAAATATGAACATTGACATATTCGATTCTCAAGTTATTCAAATTTATTCCAATAATAATACGGAGTAACTGTTATAGTAATAGTAATTGTAGTAATAACAACAATACTAGTAGTCATACACATACATTTATACATACACATATAAAAATTATAAATAAATAATACTCCCTCCGTATTTATTGTTTGCTACAATAGGTGTTGACACATATTTTAAGAGTGAAATAGTAGAGGTAATGAATAGTGTATAAAAAGTATGATAGATGGTGTAAAAGTATGAAAGAGAAGATAAAAAGTAGAAAAAGTAAGGGTAGTTGAGTATCTTTAAATGACAAACTTACCAAAAAGGAAAAATGTAGCAAATTTTGAATACATCCAAAAAAGAAAGTGTAGCAAACAAAAAAAATACGGAGGGATTATAAAACATGCTTAAATAATACAGTATATAAGCGAGAATTAAATAACTCAATTATATACTACGTACATATGAGCAGATAAAATTAAACAAGAAAACGAGGATGGTTGTTATTATTATTAATTATATTAAGAGAAAATTATCCTAGGTATAACTACAACTCATCCACATTCTCATGACCTCATTAGTTTTATCCCAAAATAATATAGTACTACATATTTAAATTCGTATTATTTAATTAATTTTAGGAGAAAATTAACCTAGGAGCTGAGTAATAAATAAATAAGTAAATAAGTAAATAAATAATTTTTATGAACTAATTTTCTCTTACATTTGTTTACCATAATATTCCCTTAGATTGATATTATAAAACCCTAACTTCCTACTCATTTTCTAAAAACCATAGTCATTAGCCCGTCACCACGCCCGGCACACGCCTCCCCGTCGCCGCGGTCATCCCCATGTGCCGTCATCGTCTCCATAAAGTATAGTAGGAATGACATAGAACCACACAAATTTTACCAAATTTAGTATGAGACAATCATAGTGGGACGGATCGAAAAGGAAAGATAAGACCATGGCGTGTATTTTTTAAGCCATACAATTGGTTTTATATTATTTATTTAATTATTTATTTATAATTTTATATGTGTGTGTATACTCCCTCTGTCCCGTTGGGATGTTCCCGGTTTGACCTACACACATATTAAGAAAATAAACTTACCAGGGGGTAAATTTTACTGTTTGGACACTGTTTGAACATTGTTTGCACTAGTGGAAAAAAGTCGATTAGAGGCGCTTTTTTGGGCCATGTGCGGCGCTTTGAAGCGCCTTTAAAAAATGTGACGCAAATCGATATCAGAGGCGCTTTTAAATTCGGAAGCGCCTCTGATTTTATTTTTTCCCGAAAAGCGTGCGGCGCTTATTCAATGAGAAGCGCCTCCGAATCACAAAAACTTCCCGGACGTGCGGCGCTTAGAGAATGAAAAGCGCCTCTAAAGTTGATAATTGTTTCTAGCGTGCGGCACTTATAGGTTAGAAGCGCCTCAAATTTTGTTTTTGTTTTAATTTCTGTTTGTGGCGCTTATAGCACAAAAGCGCCTCTAATTTATTTTTTTTGTAAATTGTTTATTTCAATTATTTTCAGTAGATTTAGAAGTTACTCAAACGCCTGCATCAATCCAAATATTCATTCGATCAAATTCAAATAGGGACACAAAATTTGTTCTCAAAATTGTACTATGTAACACTACGTAAATAACACCAATTCACCAAATGTTTTATTTAAAAGTTATCTAACAAAAGTGCTCGCAACACAATAGAATTAACACACGCTCAGCTCGTATACATTACATCTAAAAATAATCTAGACTAGATATTCTACATATATCATTGAATTCTTCCAGTGCATATGAACCTGGCCTCTCCTTGGACTCTAAACCTGATTGTCTGTACAACAATTAAAAATGAACTCAAAATTATAATGACTTGTTTACATAATATATTTAATACAACATATGTAGTATAATATAAAATATAAATTATTGAAAACACAACTTATTAAAACCTGTGATGCCATGGTGAATCAGACTGAGATGCCATGGTTGCTTATTTTCGTAACTTCCACTATCAGAAATTTCTTTCTCTATCACAGGTTTGAAAACCTAAAAAACAGAATGAAAATGTATATATAAATAAGATAAGAAAATGTATATATAAATAAGTCTGATGCTACACCAGCAACAAACACACCAAACCAGACCTCCTCACCTGCATCAATGTTCACACATTTCATCATCCACCAAGGAAACAAAACTCAACCGGAAGAGAATCAAAGATTCAAAAATCAGAAATAAAATAGCATCACAAATCAACAAGGGGAAGAATTTCTTTCATTAACTGACCGTTCAGAAGAAGGCAGAAAAGAATCTCTTTGTCGGCCGCTAAGGAACTCTCTTCTCACAGGCGACCTATAACACATGAAGACTCACACTAGTCACCAACATACAACCAAACACAAACCAAAATGATCAGAATCAACCCAAAGTCAATGAGCCAAAACAAAGATCAAAGAATACTGAATACTCACATACCAAAATTGGAAAGCAATGTTGTTCAATTCTCACAAATTAGACATCACTCGAGAATAATTAGATGGAGAAGCTGAAGGGACGAAAACTAGTAAAATGCCAACATCCCAAGTTTTCTTAAACAGAATTTTCTAAAAACACCAACATAAAAAATCTTAATAAACTGAATTACAAGAAAAGCAACTGTACAGTTGAATATCAGTAGCACAAATAATTAAAGTCATAA